GGACAGATAAGAGCCTTTGACAATGATTGGAGAGAGAAGCTATTGGAAATATGTTTGTGAAACTAAGAACATAGGGCGGCTAGGTTAAATAATATAAAAACTATATAATAAAATAAAATAATGTTTGTTGACCTTATTAAAATAGGGTTTCCTCTAGTAACGTGGAGGAGAAATGCATGAGAAATGATATAAAATGTATTTATAATAATGTTTTGAATCATACATATATGGCTCATTTATCGCCGTTCATCATGGGTTGATTAATGTTATATATTATGGTTAGTTTAATTAGTTAAATTTTAATTTGATGATGATGATAATACTAATAAAGTAGTGTAGAAGGATGATTTTGTTATGTTATGATGAGATTTTGGCTTGGGGGCAAAGTCTTGTTTGGGTCCCATAATGATTAATGTTGCCAAGTTCTTATGAGATCGTGGGGAGGATATTGGCCACCCTATCCTTTCAATCTATTATATCCTTCCCACCACTTACCCTTTGTTTTTTCCTTTCTTTTTCTTTTCTATTTTTGGACTTTAGGGTTCGGTTTTCTCTTTTCTAATGTCTTGCACATTGGAGCATAGTTCAACGGATAAGATATCTATATAATTATCATTTTAAAGATTGATGGTTCAAACTCACGCCCTGTAATTGTTGTGTTACAGAAAGAAAAACTTCATCAATATGCCTTTCTTACTTCTGATTTTAAGTTTTTGGATGTTAAAAATATCAATATTCATGGTCCCATCTCAAAACCAATTGACAAGAAGAGGAGTAGCTCATATTTATTATAAACTCTTGTTAGATTTCTTATTTTATTAGTGTGAGATCCTTAACATGCCCTCTCAAGATCGTGACTGTTTTGGCTCATCGATCTTGACCGGATCTCATTTCTAAACTAGATGCTCGTTAGAGCTTTTGGGCTCTGATACCATATTAATATTCATGGGATCCATCTCAGACCAATCGGTAGTAAGAGAAGTAGCTCATATCTATTATAAATCATTATCCATTTTCATCCTTAACATCTATTACCTATTTTTACTGGTGGAACTTTATTTTTACTGGTGGAACTTGATGGATGAGTTTTACCTTCTCTCCAATATTAGAATTCTAAAACCAAAACATTAAGGTAATTCTTAGTTGTAGAGTGTTTTTTTTAAATACTTTTCTTTTCACTCTTTCAAAAGTCATTTTCAAACTTACCTTCTAAGCACTTTTAAGTGCTTTCAAAAGTGAGTTTGAAAATACTTTTTCTAATTACCTAAAATACTAAAGTTTAGTTTCTAAAATTTTAGGAGAAAAAATAGACCTTATGGATTCTAATTATCCCTCCACTGCTCTAGAGAGAGATTATGGACCCTATTATCCTTTTGACACTGTCCCTATCGCTGTTTTTAGAGAGAGACAATGGACTCTTTGAATGCTTCTACACTAACTTTTTATTATAATAATAATTATTATTATATTCTCTTTTTATAAGTTTTAGGATTCTCTCATGGAGAGAGATTATATGGGTGAGAGAATGATAGGTACATAGAATGGAAAACACGTAAGCAAATACAAAGCATGACTTCAATATTTGGGAGGAAATTAAAATTTTACTTAATTACAAATTTAGTCCACGAACTTAATTAGTCCACGAACTTTTAGAATTGTGTTGAGTAGGTCTCTAAACTTTGAAACGTGTTAAATTAGCCCCTGAATTTTTATCAACTAAAATAGGTCTCTACTGTTTAACTCTGTAAGTTTAGTACTTTATATGGTGAGCTGACTCTACTATTTAAAGATTACGTGGTCGTGACATGTCAAATGAAATTTGCTACTTAAAAATAAATTTGGGTAGGGTCGGGTGTGGGGGCTGAAAATCGGGATATCCTAGGATAAATTTTCAGAAATTTGGGCAGGCAAATTAGTAGGAAATTGGGGTGGATTTAGGGCATATTTTTTCAAAGCTTGGGGCAAGCTAATGGGAATTGGAGATGGGTTTTAGGGAAAGTTTTTAAGAGAGGGAAAGACGAAAAGTAAGGTAACCAAAATAAATCAAAACAAAAATGGAATAGAGAGGGAAAGAGAGGGGCAAGGAAATTGTGCATTGGCACTAGTTTTATATAGTATAACGATACGGACCAATTGGACACAAAATTGAAATTTTAAGGATCTATTAAATACAAGATTTTAAAAGGTTCGACCTACTAAACACAATAGTAAAAATTAGAGTGTTCGGGACTAGTTTCGCACACCTTGACTAATCTCATGGGACAACCGCCTGACCCTACAATATTTGGTGTCGGTAAACACATAGGAATTAATTCTTAAGATAGGTAATCATCATGGGTTTGAATCCATTCCCTCTGAATTAACCCTAACCAATTGGACAAATGGACCACCTATGATGGTTAGTCTTAGTTACAATCTTATTAATTCATCAAAGGAATCGGTTTAGATTATGGATCTTTAAATTTTCATAGTTCTTTTTCGTTTTCATTTTGATGTTTGACGTGGAACTTTTTCCCTATTGAATATTTTAACAGAAGTTATCTTACATGACATATATAACGTAACGTATTACACGCGTATTGCAGATATAGAGTATAGTTTTATACATATGTTGACGATTTAAATGTGTGTGTTTGAATGTGCAGATAGAGATAAGATGTAGAGGGCAAGAGATGCTTCCATTTTGGACATTGCAGCATGTAAGAGATAACATTTGGACAACTTCCTCTTCTTCTTCTTCATCAGACTCACTCTTCACTTTGCTTCCTGACTCCTCAACTACACACCACCTAATGCTCCTTCACTATGGAAGAAAGGCTTAATCATGCTTCTAATTAATTATTTTTTTATTTATTTCCCCAATATGATTTTTTTCCCCTTTTTTCAATGGTTTCTCCTCCAATTCTCTTGTGCTACTCCCTTTATTTGCTATATTATTTCAACTTCTCTTTTCCTCTTTCTCGTAGTTCTTGGAATATTAAAACATTTTGACATGGTTAATTAGGGGTTATTTGAGATTCATGCATAATTAGTAGGTTTGACTTCATGTTTTGAATTGATTGTGGTGGATATACGTGTAATTGAAGTGTTGTTCAATTTGCTTAAGATGATGTTCATGTTCAAGTGAAAAATTAGAAGTTGAAGTTGAAAGTGCAACTTTTGGATTTGATCTTTGTTAAACCATTTTTTTTCTGATTGTTATCTACTTGGGAAATCAATGTATATAACTAAATACATCAAGTTAATTACACGAAGTGCCTTGAATTTTGGGGTGGGTTTCAATTGTGAATGCTCCTGTCGTTTCAAAATTAATTTCTTTTAGCTTTTTAAAATGGTTTGAAAGTAACATTTCCTCTTAACTTTCTTATTAAAATGAAAACATGGATATGACGTGGTGTGAGTTGTGAAAACGGGGTAACATTGTTGGGATTTTTGGATACAAAATAAAATAAATAAATAAAAAGGAAGGAGCGAAAACAAATAATAATAGACCAAAGTCCAAACCCTTATTTTTAAGTTTCACATACTCATATATATATATATGAGTTTTACCTTTTGTGGGGGGCCGCAATTTTAGTGGCAGTCGAATGGGGTTTTTTGTCAATTTTTTGTGGGAGTGGCTCGGAATTGTTGGCAGCAAATTGGGAGATCAACATCATATTATTAAGGGTACAATATCTTGATTATTGTGAGTTTTTCATTCCCGTTCCTAAGTAATTATAGGGCTTTTGTTGAGACCTCCAGCAAATATTTTTTGGGAGAGTTATTGTGTCCAATCCTTAAATTATTATTAGTGGATTATCCACATCTGAGTGGAAGACTGGACGTAGCCCTGTGAACCAGTATAACTTATTGTATCGTTATTCTTATGCTTTTACAGTTTTCTTCCCATTTGCACATATATATTTTTTTTGTGTTTGGATATTTCGAAAAATTATACAGGACCGTTAATTTTTCAACGTATGTATCAGTGAACTAAAAAGGTTTAACTCTTAAACCTTAAAAGCCGTTTCGAAAGAAACCCTTTGTGTTATGTCTCCCGTTAAAACAAAAATGAAAATATGACGTGGTGGTTGTAAAGAACCTTGCTCTGCCATCTCAATCTTAGCAATTCTACACTGACAGCAGAAAATCAGCCAACGAACAATCGACAGCCACATCTGCAGATAGCAGGCAAAATAAAGTCAAATAATCTTCTCCTTATTTGGTATCTATAGCTATTATCTTCCCCATAAACACTGATTGTGTGTAGTAAATTTAGCAAGCACTTCTTTATTACTTTTAAGAATTGCTTTTATTGTTTCAAATTCTGTGATCACCAAACTTACCAAATTCTTGATGATTTCCATTCTAGCTTCTGCCGTGTGTATATAGAAGGGTTACTGAGAAACCTTACAATTCAATTCAATTCAAAATACATTCTGAAATTCAATACAAAATAGAGGAATTTCTTCAATTTTCTGTAATCAGGCTCCGAACCTTTTATGTATCAGAGCAAGCATGATAGAAAGCTTCCAAACGAAAGAATAGTGTTGATCCATGGCCAAGCAACAAACTTCTCTGACGGTGCAATCCTTTTATCAATGTGCAAGTCTTATCTCAATAAAACTAAACTCTTCCAATTACAAGCTTTATGGGAAATTACAGGTATTGCCATTGATAAGGATACTTGGTATGGAACACGACCTCATAGAAAAAGAAGGGGTGCAAAAGAAATCAAATAAAAAGATATTGGACTTGTAAGGAGTGCAAACAAAGTCTCACGTTGGCTGGGGAAGAAGAAAATCATGGATATTATATGTGAGGGGACAACATCTCTCCATTGGTATGATGCTTTCTGCGTGAAACCAAAAGAAAAGTTGATTATGCCCAAAGTGGACAATATCATACCATTGTGAGAATGTGCAGGGTCCCTTGTCTCGATGTCTACCAACATCTGGTATTAGAGTCATGATCAAATATACTTGTGTTTGTAAAATCCTTGAGTGCCGAACAAAGAAGTGGTGAGCTTCGGAAGATGTAGTCATGGGTGTCATCCGTCGTTGAACTCTATTAGAAGCGGACAACCAGTCATGTGCTCCGAAGAAGAGGAGTTGACTTGGGATAAGAGTTGGACGAATGAATGACTACCTGAGGAGAGGCTTGCGGTAAAAACTTTGTACAAAGAGAAGATTGTTAAGTTTGTAAGGAATAGAAACAAAGTCCCACATTAGCTGGGGAAGGAGAATATCATGGGTATATATGTGAGGGACAACTGTAAGTTAACTCAAATTGCAAGTTTGATTCTTTTAGTTTTTGAATTTGTCTAGTCCAAGTCTTAGTTTCTAGGAAGTAGTTAGGGTTATTTTTGGTATAGTCAAGTCAACTAGGTAGATTGCTATTCTTATAGCTAGTGGAGTAGTTGCTTTTTATGTGGAATTAGTTGAGTCTATTTATAGACTTAGAGTTTTTATAAATATGTAGTATTATTGAATGAAACTTACACACTTCCCGACTTTCTCATTTCTCTCTCAATAATAAGAACTACAGTGGTATCAGAGCCTTAAATTCTTAAGGGATCTGTGAGTGAGGATTAGTGAAATATTCCCGAGAGAAACTAAGTGATACACCTGTGAGAGTTTTGTCCAATGGAGTTAGGATCAAACAATCTTTCTTCACTGTGCAAGCAAGAATCATATGGTTGCTGGAAAAAGGGTTTTGAGATATCTTAAAGGCACACTGTCTTTTGGGATCAAATACAATAAAGTTGAAAATTTTGAGTTGCAGGGTTACTCAGATAGTGATTGGGCTGGGTCATTAGATGATATGAAGAGTACCTCTGGCTATTGTTTCACTTTTGGCTCAGGGTGTTTCTCATGGTGTTAAAAAAAACAAGATATAGTGGCTCAGTCAACTACAAAAGCTGAATTAATTGCAGCAACAGTAGCAGTCAACCAAGCTATTTGGTTGAAGAAGTTGATGCGTGACTTGCATCTAAAGAAAGAAGAGAATGTGAAGGTGTTTGTGGATAATCAAGTCACTTTAGCTATTTCATTGAATCCGGTTTTTCATGGAAGGACCAAGCACTTTAAGATCAAGTATTACGTTCTTAGAGAGATGCAGAAGGAAGGAGAAGTTCAGTTGGTGCATTGCAGCTCAGAGGAGCAAATAGCAGATATCTTCACTAAGTCCTTTAGTGTGGGTCGTTTTCAAGCTCTTAGGAGCAAGTTGGGTGTTTGTTGTATTTGAGTTAGGAGGAGAATGTAAGTTAACTCAAATTGCAAGTTTGATTCTTTTAGTTTTTGAATTTGTCTAGTCCAAGTCCTAGTTTCTAGGAAGTTGTTAGGGTTATTTTTGGTATAGTCAAGTCAACTAGGTAGGTTGCTATTCTTATGGCTAGTGGAGTAGTTGCTTTTTATGTGGAATTAATTGAGTCTATTTTTAGACTTAGAGTTTGTATAAATATGTAGTATCATTGAATGAAACTTACACACTTCTCCAGTTTCTCATTTCTCTCTCAATAACAAGAACTACAACAACATCTCCATTGGTATGAAGTCTTTTGAGTGAAACCAAAAGCAAAACCGTTAAGGTATGGTTATGCCCAAAGCGAAAGACACACATCTTCTAAAACAAAATAAGGACCATTAACTTGAAAAAATGTTTTGATTGTGCCTAAAATGAAAACTAATTTGCTATGCATTAGTATGCTCACACGAGATAATAATTGCTGCATTTCTTTCTTTACTGATAAATTTGTGATTAAGAGTGCACACGGACATTTACACTAGTTGCCAATTAGGCAAATGCACTGTGAACTTCCTTTTTAAGTTTAATAAGAATATTTGTTTGAACCCTTTCGAGAAAATTCACTACAACCAGCGATGGGTTTTGCTTCTATCTATTATTGCCAACACTTTAAATACTGTACAAGTTTCATAGATTTCTACTCTAGATTTGAGTGGATACATCTGTTAAGAAAGAAATCTGACTTTCTTGCTTGCTTTTATCAAATTTCAATTCTTGGTAGAAAATGAGCTAGATAGAAAAATCAAAACTTTTCAAAGAGGGAGAATTTCACACTTTAGGTCTCAAAAATAAACCTTTGAATAAAACAGGATACATCAATTTTCTTGTCTTTAGACCCCTCAACAATGGTGTGGTGGAGAGAAAACATAAGCACATACATTGTAGAAACCAGTTTGATCATTCTCTTCCAATCTCACATGCCATTAAAAAATTAGGTTGATGCATTCTTTACAACACCTTTTCTCATAAATAGGATGCTCACAAAGTTATTAAACATGGATTCCCTTTTTCAAAAGTTGTATGGTAAATAAAACCTAACTATAATGGCATTTGAGATTCTTGTATGTAGGTGCTTCTTCCTTACCGAAGAAACCTCCCAAACAGCAAAAAATTCACTAAAAGAAAACATATTCGTGTGTATTTATTAGATATACCAATGCTCATATAGAATATAGGTGTTTTGATTCGCTAAATAACTGCATTTACATTTCAAGGCATGTTATGAAACCACATTTCCATTTGATAATACTGCCACTAACAGTTGCAAACAAGAATCTTGCTTCGCTTGCTGTTACAGATTTTTCCAGAACCATAATGAAGATATAAGTTTCCTTGGTAATCAAATAAACACTTACATAACACCTCACAAAACTCCAACACCACATGAGGGAATATAATAACAACGACCCAAGTCCAAGATATGACTTCTCAACTTTATCAACCATGGAAAATGGAAACACAAACAAGAGTCACCATTTGTTTGATCAGAAAAATGACCCAACTTTGCGAGCCTCGACTCGGATTAAAGGTTGCTCGAAGGATGAAGTGGTCAGGTGACCAGCAAGATAGAATACACTCCGATGCTAAAGTCAGTAGCTGGCCGAACTAAACTCAAGAAAGAATTTAGGATTCCCGTACTTTTAAATGGAGCAAATGGGTCCTTTTTATAGGCAAAATCCCTGACCATGTTCCCGACAAGGCCTGAACGACTCTTTAAGGTTACTGCGAAACTCTTTGTGTTGTCGTGGAGTTTGTCGAAGAAGAGGCTGAGTCGAAGTAAAGCAAGCGATTCAACCAATGACTTGGGGAACG